ATCTTTTGATAGCCGGGCACCATCAGCTTTCTTCACCACATTTGCTTATTCACCCGCTTTGTCTTCAGCGGTTGTGTCGGGAAGGTGAGAGGCTCACATTTTTAATCACCGAATAATGTCATCCCTTATATGCACTGAGCTGTTTGAGTTGATAAGAGGCACTGCACAAAGAGCTCTCCTAATTCATCTTCACCACGGCAAAGCTTCTTCATGACGACTGTCTAAGGCAGAGCAGTACTGCCCTTGTGGGTTTCTGAGACTATAACTCTTTACAGGACTTGAAAGCCTCATCTTTCTCCTTCAGAGCAGCTGTTGGTTTCAAACTTCTGACCTTGCAGCCAATATATAGGGTCACCATGAGGCAGTGAGTTAGTTAAGACAAAGTGTATCACCAGAAAGAACAATTACACAATCATATTCAAAATCACTGTGAAAAAACACTAATAAAATACTGTAATAGATGCTTCAAATAAATTATTTGGAATTCTCATAAAAATACAGGTAGGCATTAGAACCTCAGAGAGAGTAACCTCAGAAAGCCCGCATTCTCTCTTCTTCATCAGTAGTTCTCCAATTTTCTGTGCACCAGAATGATCTGGAGGAGCTATGAAAAGAACAAGCATCATTGGCCCCCACTTCAGCAATTTAAAAAGTCCAGGCTGACAATGATGCTGTCGCCCAAGGATAACATCCCGGTGCGTAACAACACTGTTCTCCTCTTTGTTCCTTTGTTTTTGAATGGACTGGGGTAAGGAGGAAGATGGGAACACCTGCCATTTCCATGTGTCAAAATTGCTAAAAAGTCAACCAGCTGAGAAACTTTACTGTAAATTACATAGGGTCCCTATGAGTCAGAATTCCCTTGGGGGCAGCTAGGATTATGTCTTACAGCATCTATGTGTCTGGATCCCATTAAGAGACAAAAGGATTGATCCCTCTGAAAAGAGGTTTGAAGATGAGTCAAGAGCAGAACTCAATGAAGTTGGAAGCTTGATAAGATCCCAGTGAAATAAAAAAGGAAATCTTACATTAATGGGCTCTATAAATACAACGAATAGGAGTTTCAAAGGCTGAAAATAGTCAATTATAGGTTTCATCATTATATCTAAGATTCAAGTAATTAAGTAAAATAGGTAATCCAAACTTATGGGGTTCTAGCATGTTAAAAAGGAGCCAGATTCTCCTATTTAATAGCACAGCCCATAACCTAGTTCACTTCTCCTCATTCTCATAATAATGGGAATTACTCAGGGAAATATGCAACTAACCTTTTTTAATAACATGTAGAAGGTCAGTCAACTTAGGAAGAAAGGTTAGGGGGGAAAAATCACATATTAAAATATATGTATATACATCTCCATATACATATACCTCTTTGGTCATGGACTCATTTGGGAATTTGGTAAGGACTATGATTCATTCTAAGCAAATTTGCACATGCATTCAGAATTGTGTACATGAATTAGGAGAGTCCTGGCAAGCCATCTTCTCTGATAGGACTACCTTATTCCCAAGATGTAGAGAGTTGTTCAGTCTCCAATCTCCACGTTCTCATTTCTCCATTATCTCTGACACCGGCCATTACTCCACAACACACTCTTTCTCTTCTGGGTACAATAATTTGCTGTAGCAGCTCATAGGCTATGCTTAAGGTGATATGTCTTTTTAGAGTAAAAAGATATACTGTAGGTGTAAACATATCCGTGTCAGGAAGAGGTATACAGGGGAATGTCTGTATGGGTTCCTGAAGCTGAATTTGTTTTTCCAAGGCAAGCGGGTCTCTCCTGCCAACCAGAATAGCTCGGTTGGAAAGAGCCCCTCTGTTACAGGAATTTTTTTAGTCAATCAATATACCCATTATTAGTTACCAGCTGGGTTCCCTACTTGGACTGATGCTCAACAAATACTCAGAAGTCAATGCACCTTCATTACTAGAAAATCCCCCTCAAGTTATTTTTGTTTGTTTTGTTGGCCAAAAACCCAGAGCAGAGGCCAAATTAGGGAATTCATTAAACCACACCACCTATAGTACAAAGACAGTTCAACAAAGTGTCTTGCTGGGATATCTATAAGCATGGCTAAGATTGAATCAGAGGTGTTTTATTTTCATTTCTGAATGAAGCTCCTCCAAATTGGCCTGAGCATCATTACAATCATGCATGATATTGGGCTGGTGGCCAAGCAAGAGCTATTCCAGGATTTATTTCCCTGGCTTCCCACATCAACAATGAATCTCAACAGTAGCAATTTATAATTTAATTTGTGACTATGGGCAAGATACAAATTCTTCAGGTTCATTTCCTACTACTGATAGAATTAATCTTCTCAGGTACGTTGTTCTGTTTGCTCACTCCTGAGTGTTGAGGTGGGAGCAGGAGTTAACTAGGCTTAGCAGCTCCTAAATCATCCAGATGAGGTTCAGCCGAGGAATGAATGGACAAAAGGAGGTACTATTTTACACTTTGCAGATGAGCGTGAGTAGGTGTCTGGGAGTACGAAAAAGCAGCTGTGTAACAAGAAGTTACGGCCTGCTTCATAATACAAACTCCCTTCCCTTAGTTCACAAGCTCGAGCAATGAGCTTAGTGGGGCTCTACTAGAAGTCCTTTCATTTACTATCCAGCAGATTTTTAAATGCCATCAAGAAACCAGAGGTAGGTCAGTCCTTTATTCATTCCAATTTCACTAGTATTATCTACTGCAAGTCTATACATTTAAGATTATAAATATGAATAGCAGTCGTCCCTGTTGTCTATAGTTGCTGCTAACACTTGTTATTTAGGAAAACTGCCCCACGAGGTTTTCAAGGCCAGAGCTTTTCAGAAGCCAATCAGCAGGCCTGTCTTCTGAGTCACTTCTGGGTGGGTGAGTTTGAACTACCAACCTTTGGGTTAGCGGTCAAATGCATACTTTTTGTGCCCACGGTGATATTTACAACTACTAAAAGCTTTTCCCTTGCTATTTGTGTTATTTTAATATCATTTAAATAAGAATGGAAGAGGAAATTTCAGGTGAACTTGCAACCAATTTTTTTTACTTTTTCATTGTTTTCCCTTCATCACTTTCCTGTAAGAAAACAACAGCAAAACAAGTCTCAGTTGCTTCCTAGAGATCAGATGCTCATGAATTGATAATTATTCCTAGAAAAAGCAGTTCTGGGTTTTTCCTCCCCTTTTAGTAGGAACCACATTACAGTCAGTTGATTATATACTGACAATTATATGAAAAATATAGTATAGCTGAATCAAAACAGAATTAGAGAAATATAGCTGCTATAAGCAAATAAAATCATGCATTTTAAATCCAAACTTTTAAAATCTCCTCTTTCCTTTTGTCAACAAGACTATACCAATTAAAGGTTCACAATATAAAAGTATAACTTTGCCTATGGAAATTTTTCAATTGTTCCCCAACAAGTTACATTTCATTCTGTTGTATATGAGGGCATCATCAGAACAATATTCCAATGGCACAAAGTAGATGTTCAATAGATATTTGCTAAATCAATGCATGAAAGAATATATTAAGTTTTTAAATGGAATTCATAATTAACAAATATTTCTATATGAAATATTATTCATTCTTTCCTTTTCAAATGGCCATCAGTCATTAGTATTTTTATTTTGTCTAAAAATCATTGGTTCTGTGCTCCCACATTTGGAAAGATGACTTTAGACTGTGGGTACATGTATGAGGGTGGTCTGAACAAAGTTTGTTTGTAACATTTTCTTTCAGATTCAATAAAGGTGAGAATTGATTTGACAAACCCCAGAATTTTTCTAATTTAATGTATAAAAACTAAACTGTATAAATTTTACCAATAAGTGATTTAACAAAGTTTTCACCATTTGTAGTCAGAGCTTCAAATCTGCCACATTAAAAAAAATGTCTATTGACAACTGAAGATCACTTCTTCAGTATCATTAGATGAATATGTCTCAGCTAATGACCTAATACATGGATTCACTCCCAACTTAATAATGACTCACAATAATGAGGGGGAAAGGACATGAAAACAAATGCATACATTAAACCTAGTCAAAGTGAAAGAGCAATATCCAGCATGCATTTTAAAATACTTTCACTGTAGTCTGGCTCATAATTATAGCACCATCTAGTGTTTACTATGCATAAATGCTCTGAGGGCCAATTGCGTAGGTAGGGGGCTTCAAAAGTATGTGGGGAAAAGGCATGACATGATAATGGAATTCTTCATGAATTATTTGAATTTCTCCCATACAAAAGGCCTTTATCACTTAGTTTTAATTTTGTATGCACTTGAACACATTGATATGGGTGTATGACCAAGTTACAAATGACATGTTCAATATGAAAATGTAGTACAGAAAAATTGATGTCAATTAGAATTATAAACCATTCAAATAAATTTCAAATAATATTCTTCAAGAAAATACCAAAAGTAAAACATAAAGGAAGAAAAACATTTTAAATGTTCTTGGAACCCTAATAGATTATTTCATAATGAAAATGTAATAAAAAAGTACATCACCAACACAATAAATAGTTTATATTTAAGTACCCTGAATGTCTAGTTATAATATTTGTATAACTTAAACCCTTAATCCCTACAGACAGCATTATAACAAGACGCTACTAATATTAATAACTCCCAATTAATTTAAATACTTTTTATAATACTCCTGGTGATTATTTTAAGTTATTCAATCATCTATAAGAAAATTTCTAAACTGGCTAACATCACTCCTTCTATGTTTACTACGACCCAATTGCTACTTACACCAAGACAGGCTTTCCCGATATTCTAGGATGTCTTAGGACTTCTGACATTGTCTCTTTTGTCTCTTCCATTCTCTCTTCATCACTGGAATCCACAACAAAGATTACTCCATAGGATTCAGCATAGTAATTCTTCCAGATTCCTCGAATTCTCTTTCCACCTCCCAAGTCAAAGATGGTGACTTCAAACTTTCCTTGTCTAAGGTCAATTTTGGAAAATCCAACAGTAGGAGCTACATCATCAGGATGCTCTATTTCGAATAACACAAAAGAAACAATCTTTTTAGGTTTTATATTAATAGAATTAGTTTAACTTTATAACTTAAATGGAATGAACCTGGTATTCAATTACATTTTAATACAAAACACATGTTTACCCCCTCCCTGGGGGATGGGCAACAGAAAAGTAGGTGAAGGAAGACATTGGACAGTGTAAGACATGACAAAATAATAATCGTTTATAAATTATCAAGGGCACAAGTAGAAAGAGTGTTTTGAGAATGATGATGGCAACAAATGTACACATGTGCTTGACACAATGGATGGATTGTGATGAGTTGTATGAGCCCCCAATAAAATGATTTTCTTAAAAAAAGAAAAAACAAAACAACAACACATGTTTATTAGTTGCTTATTTAACAAGCATTACATTAAGGAGGTTGACTAGGGGAGAATAAATATTATAAAACATCCAACTAAAAATTTACTGGTTTATGTTGTTATTGACCTAACTGTAGCACTAACAATAATGTGCAATTTGCGGGCTTGGAGATTTTTCTCTCCAGTGAATTCCAAATCATGGAAACCTGTGAGTGTCAGAGTACAATTGTGTTCCACTGAATTTTCAATAGCTGACTTCTCAGAAGTAGATCGCTAGGTTTTATTTCAAGGCACCACTAGGTGGATTCATAGCTCCAATCTTACAGTTAGCAGCATAGTATATTAGCCATTTGTCCCACCCAGGTTCTCCATATTGATATTGCTATTGTGTGCCATCAAATTAAGTAAGACTCATAGTGATTCTTGTGACAGAAGTTCAGCTTTCTTCCTACGAGAGGCTTGTGGATTTGAAGTACAGACCTTTCTATTAGCAGTGACTGTGTAATCATTGTGATACCAGGGAACCTTTTATTGGTAGGTACCAGAGTTAATTCCAACTCAAAGTAATCTTATTATCAACAGAATAAAACAACGCCCAATCCTGCACAATTCTGACAACATTTTGAATACTTTGTTGCCACCACTTGTTGAAGATCTTCCTCTTTTTCCGCTGACATTCTATCAAGCACGATGTCCTTCTACAAGGATTGGTTCCTTCTGACATGATGTACAAATTACATGAAAGAATGTCTTAATAATTCTAAGGAGCCTTCTAGTAGTACTTCACCCAACAGAAATTTGTTGGTTCTTCTGGAAGTCCACGGTAGGTTCAATATTCTTTATCAACACCATTTTGTGAAAGCATCAATTCTTCTCCAGTCTTTTAAATTCACTGTCTATCTTACATAGGAATTAAAGGCAACTGAAATTATGACTTGGTTCAGGTGCACCTTAGCCCTCAAAGTGACATCTTTGCTCTTAACACTTTTTAAAGAAGCCTTTTGCATCAGATTTGCCCAACGCAATACATCATCTGATTTCTTGACTGCTGCTCTCATGAGCATTGATTGTGGATTTACGTAAGATGAAATCTGACAACTTCAATCTTTTCTCCATTTTTTTTTGTTTTTCATGAGGTTGTCTATTAGGACAGTTGGGGGGATTTCTGTTGTTGTAATACAAACTGAAGACAACAGTCTTTGATCTTGATCAATAAGTGCTTCAAGTCCTCTTCAATTTCCGCAAGCACAATTGCGCCATTTTCATATTGCTGATTGTTAGTGACCCTTCCTCCAAACGTGATGCCACAATCTCCTTCATAGAGGCTAGCTTCTTGGATTACTTGTTCAGTATACAGCTTGAATAAGTAAGAGTGAAGGAATGCAACTCTGACACACACATTTCTTGATCTTCAACCAGTCAGTATCACCTTGTTCTGTTCAAACATTTGCCTCTTGGTCTATGAACAGGTTCATATGAGCATCATTATGTGCTCTGGAATTCTCATTATTTGCAATATTATCTATAGTTTGTTATGATCCACAGAGTCTAATAAATGCCTTTGCTTAGACAATAAACACTGGTGAACGTATTTTGGCAGTCTCTGTTTCATCGAAATCCAGCTGATAGCAGGTGTTTTTAAATTATGTGTAGCACAGTAAGTGTTTCCAGGGGTGCTTCAGTCTGTCAATCTCAAGAGCCTTGTTTGTGACCAATGTCATCAATACAGCTTGTATTTTTCAATGCCACCAGTTCTTGATCATATGCTATCTCTTGAAATAGTTGAATGTGGATCACTTCAGTCTGATAACAGTGACCTGTATATTCCTCCCATATTCTTTTGATTCTTCTTGAATCATTCACTATTTTGCCCATGAGTCTGTAAATATTGCAACCCGAGGTTTCAATATATTTTTTTAGTTCTTTCTGCTTAAGACATGCTGAGCATAATACTTTACTCTGTCTTCCCACACTGCCCTTTGAAATCTTCGCTTAGTTCTTTTAAGTAATTTCTTCCATTTGCTTTAAATGCTCTGTGTTCAAATGTATGTTTCAGAGTCTCTTCTGACATTCATTTCAGTCTTTACTTTCTTGAAGTAAAACTTTCTTTTATTTTCATGTACGATGTTCTGAAGACAACTCCTGTGGTCTTCAGTCAGCAGTGTTTACTGCATCAGACCTTGAGAAGGTCTGTAACTTCCGGTCTGATATAGTGAAAGTCCTATTTCGGCTGTTGCGGACTTGTCTTCATTTTCTTTAGCTTCAAACAGAACTGCAAATGAGAAACTGATGGTCTGTTCTACAGTCCGCCCTGGGCCTTGTTTTGCCTGATGGTATTGAGCCTTTCCATTCTATCTTCCACACATGTACGACGGATTCCTGTGTATTCTATCTGGTAAGGTGCATGGGTATAGTTACAGTTTATGTAGTTGAGGAAAGGTATGTGCAATGAATATGTCAATGGTCTTGCAAATGATATAGGAAGGATTTGATATATAATCTGTTTAAATGCAGCTTTTAAAATTATTTTTGGTTTTAATTAAATAAAGTTTAAGTTTTAGTTCTTGAATGTCACTAGCCACATTTCAAATGTTTGAAAGTCCCATTTGGCTAGCGGGAACACTATTACACTGATCTGATAAGGAACATGTCCATCACCGTATAAAGTCCCATTGTACTACACTGGTACAGAGGGTCTTTTCAGTCCCATGTCTGAAGAGGGAAGAGTAGTGTTACAAACATAAATTTGAAGGCTATTTGGTGGTAAGTATAGATGTGACAAAGGAACCGCCTTACAAGTCCTCACTCTACCACAAGCACCTTAATATAGTTTATATAGCTCCTTAGAAAGTTAATGGAACCAATTTAAGTCACATCTTGTCACTGAATGTGGGAGGAGAAGCTGTTTGTTCCTTAGGCAAGTGGGACAGGACCTTCACATTTCATGGCCCAAGGTCGGGGAAGTATGCTGATAGGTGTACTGCAGAGTTAATGATGCAGCTGTGGTCTGTCTTTCTGTCTAAGATAAACGGACACCTGGCCCTGGCAGGGGCTAAAGAAAACAGTGCCTGCAAAGATATTATTACTTCAATTTCTCAAGCCTCATCCTCCCCTCTGTATTTGAACAGCCTGGACGAATGTTTCTTTGTATGCCTTGAGAACTGTTTATGACCTTGCCCCTAATCAAGCTCTGGGCTCTAGATCGTCTACGCTGCAGAGACCAACTTTCTGTCTCTTTTGTATATAAATTTTCTGCAGATCATACCCTTTTGAATCCATGTGATTTGTGAGGTAAGAGCCAGTCTCTACATTGTCTCACAACTAAGAACTTAATTATAAAAAGAGAAACAGGCAATTTTTAGGTGTAATATTAGATGTAACTTGCTTTTGCAGAAAGAGGATTATACTAGATATTTGAACATAGGGATATATTCTTGGCCTGAATGGTTCCCAGACAAAATAGGCAGTTTTTTGAGCATGCCTTCTGAGGTGTCCACCTGGAAAACTTTAGTGAAAATAAATCAACTATATTGAAGTAGAGGAAAAGATACTACCAGTTGTACTGAATGAACACCTGCTCCATACCAGGACTTTATTATGCATTAGAATATAAAGATGAATATATGCTGGCCTTAAAAAACTTATGGTACGCAATACACAAAGACAAAATATTAGTGAAAATAACACAGAATGAATGAATTCGATGAAAAGACCCTTTAGACTACAGGGTGAAGGCATTAAGAAGAAGAAGACGGAGAGGAAAAAGGGGTGATTTGTGGTCTACAAAGGTGTCAGAGAGGAAATGATTTAAATGGGAGTTAAATCTTAAAAGTTACACAGTCATAAAAGAAAAAACATTCTAGGCAGAGAGAGCAATGTAAGTGCAGATAAAATGATAACAATATTCCGAGAACACTATCAATCCATCCATTCATCAATACTTGTAATTTACTAATAGGCTGTATATTATAGAGTAAGCATTATATAAAAACCAAAGATACAAAGACACATGATCACCCCTCCAGACTTCAGTATTCTACAACAAAATATAAATGTAGAATCAATAACTATTTAACATCTGTCAGATCCCAAACACTCTGTCAGGTTTTAGAAATTAAAAGATTAATAAGATTTAGCTTCAAATTTTACAGAACCCTCAGTCTATGGAAGGAACATGTAAACAAGTAACTACAATATAGTAAAGATATGGTAAGAAAAATATTGACAAGGTGTTAAAAGAAAAGCGCAAAAATGCAAATAACCAAGTCTATGATAAACTATCTGATAAGATAGAATATGTGAAGAAGAAAGGAGCATCAGGATTGGAGGAAGGCTTATGCACAACCTGCAGTATGCAGATGACACAGCCTTGCTTGCTGAAAGTGAGGAGGAAAAAGATCAAGGATTATAGTCTTCAGTATGAATTACAACTCAATGTAAAGACGACCCAAATCCTCACAACTGGACCAATAGTTAACATCACAATAAATACATAAAAGGTTGAAGTTGTCAAGGATTATGTCTTACTTGGATCCACAACAAATGCTCATGAAAGCAGCAGTCAATATTAAAAGTCATATTGCATTAGGTAAATCTGCTGCACAAGACCTCATTGGAGTATTAAAGAGCAAGGATATTAATCTGAGGACTAAGATGCCCTGCCCAAGCCACGGTTATTCTCCACTGCATTGTATGCATGTGAAAGTTGGACTTTGAAAAAGGAAAATCAAAGAAAATGAATTTAAATTGTGGTGCTAGAGAAGAAAATTCAAAGCACCATGGACTTCCAAAAGGCCAAATTGATCTATATTGAAGAAATAGACCCAAAGTGTTCCTTAGAGGCAAGCTAGCAAGACTTCATTTTACATACTTTATACATATTGTCAGGAGAGACCAGTCCTTGAAGAAGGACACGTTTGGTAAAGTGGAGGGGCAGTGAAAAAGAGGAAGCCCCTCGTTGAGATGGATTGACATAGTAGCTGTATCAATGGGCTCAGGTAAAGAACAAGTGTGAGGACGGTGCATACCATGCAGTGTTTCCTTCTGTTGTGCGTAGCACGGTCGCTAAGGATCGGCACTAGGTGGCACCTACCAACAACCTGATAAAGAAGGTGACAGGTTTTGAGCAGAAAATGACCTCTTGAACAAGGCGTGTTTTCCAGCGGGGTGGGTGGAGGTCAGGCTATTGCAGCATAGTAAGCTGCAATGTCTGAGCAGGCTGGCTTGAATGCGCACACAACTGAGAACTACAACTGATGTGTCTTGCTTGATTGTAGTGCAAAAGGGAAGCCGAGGGAGCAGGACAGAAGGAGATGATAATGAACAGGCAACAGTTAGCCAAGCCCTACAAGTCCTGATAAGGAACTTTACCTTGAACAAAATGGATGAAAACCCACTGAAGAATTCTAAATTATAATGAAATAAATATTACTCTCACTTGAAAAAATAGATCACTGTGAGGAACCCAGATGAACCCCTGAACCCTCAATGTCCATCCTCTCTTTCTAAGAAATTCCCAAACTCCTCTGTTATGATATGTGAGCATGTGATTGAAGTCTGGCCAATGGGACATCCATAGAAATACCATTTGTGACTTTTGGGTCATGACACTAAAGGCCAAGCCTAATCCTCACCATTATTATTTTGACTGGATGGAAAGATGTGTGCCTCTCATCTCCTCTTTTGTTTCTTTTATTTATTTATTTATTATTTTTTATTAAATCATTTTATTGGGGGATCTTACAGAACCTATCACAATCCATACAGACATCCATTGTGTCAAGCACAGTTGTACACATGTTGTCATCATCATTTTCAAAGCATTTTCTACTTGAGCCCTTGATACCAGCTCCTCATTTTCCCCCCAACTCTCCCCCACTCCCTCGCTCATGAACCCTTGATAAATTATAAATTATTATTATTTTCATATCTTACAATGTCTGCTGTCTCCCTTTACCCACTTTTCTGTTGTTCATCACCCCCTCCCAGGGGCGGGCGTTATATATTGATCATTGTGGTTGATTCCCACCTTCCCCTTAACTTCCTGGTATCTCTACTTTCATTATTGGTCCTGAGGGGTTTTTCTGTCCTGGATTCCCTGTGCTGTGGGCTCTTAGCTGTAGCAGTGTACATGTTCTGGTCTAGTCTGATTTGTAAGGTAGAATTGAGATCATGCTAGTGGGGGGAAGGAAGCACCAAAGAACTAGAGGAAAGCTGTATGTTTCATCGGTGCTATACTATGAAGTGGAATATAGATGTGAGATTGAAGTAGAATTTGAAATCAGGAAGTGGGATCACACTCAGCAGATCTATCATGTTATTCAATTAGCAGTTGTGCAGCAGGTGTTAACATTGGTATAACAAACTAGACCACCAGTCATTCTGGTTTACATCACAGCAAACCATTTGTTAAAATTTTATCCCATGACACCTTGAAAGGAAGAACACAGGACAATTCAGCTTATTGTATTACAGAAGACGGCTGTAAGATTTAAAATATTTGCTATTTTAGTTGCCATTTTCAAAACCCTCTAAGAGAGGGATAAATTCAGGCTACAGCTTTACAGTTTGCAAGTCGACGTGGAAAAATATCAACTTTATAATGGAGGCACTGTCTTCCTGTAATCTGTGCTCTGCCTTTGTTTCTGTCTCAAAACTGAGGCAGAGATAAGCAGTGGATCTAAGGAGGTAGTATAACTATGTAGCATTGGCTTTATCAGCTTCCTCCGACTATCAGCCAAACAATGGGAGACAGCAGTAACACAGAGCACAGAGGGTGAGAACAAACAGCTCAAAGATTTAAACTTATAAATGATAATTTTATAGCTGTCATCCTGCTACTGACCACAGATTACTAAATAGTTTTACTGATTTATACCGCTAAACATAGTAAGTATGCCTGAGTTGCAAAATGCAATGAATATAAACCCTGGGCTACCAAAGCCATGCAAGCATAAAGTAGCCCATAAATACTGAGTCATCGCAAATATGTACTTGAACATGGGAGATAGTGATGTGGATAAAGAGCATTTAGGCTGTCGTGATTTTGACGCATCCAAAATGTTCAATAATGTGAGTACTGAATTCATAAAAGTAAAGATTTTCTCACCTAAAATGGCAGTGGTTTCTGTGAAAATAGCAATGGCAGGGGAGTCTGATCTTTGTTACAGCCCAAGGCTGATACTATGAGCCAGAACAATTCAGGCTCAGGAAAAACTCAGGATACAGTTCTTCAATCAGGACAGCCTTTTCTCAGCTGTGCCCACAGAAAAGCCTCTCTGGTCCCCATTTCTTAAGTCCTTGAGGCTTTTCGGATTGGCTCAGCCTCTGCCCTAATTGGGGGTTACAAAGTCCTTTAGCTTTTTAGTTCCCAGAGTCAGTCCAGCAAGCCTTCCCCCTGAAAGTACTCAGTTCTCTCATTCTGTGGGCTGGGAAGCCAACTGTATTATCTCACAGCGGTCTCCTTTGCAGCAGCCATTCTTCTGCTTTTGCTTCTCTCTGTATCTTGCCAATGGTCTTATAGCTCACTATCCGCGGAGCCTAAGATGTTCTCAGTGCTGGAACCCCAGGTTCCTTCTTCTCAGTGGTGATCAGGTCCCACCCACACGCTGCACCGCCCTCTGCTGTCTCCCTTCCTAGATTATCTCTTGTAAGATAAAAGGTGTGACTCAAGCCAGGGCATGACTTTAGTAAGACAGTGAATGAGGTAACTTGAATAGGGGTGGTGACTGGGGTAAGTTGGTGGTGAGTCACAACCTCTGTCTAGTGTAAGATCATGACTCAAGATACATCCTACCCCAATCTTGCCTCATGAATATAATGGACACCTCTCTCACATGAGACCGTAACCATAGGCACAGAAGCTAGGATTTACAATCTATTACAAGGTGAAAAGTCTATGAGACCAAAAATAGAGGGTAATCATACAATACGGAGAACCAAAGCCTAGCCAGCCTGACACGTATACTGACTTGCACAGCCCCACCCAATCATTGTGTGGGAGCCACAGCACAGAGTCTGTGACTAGAAGAGGCTCCTAATTAATCCATAGTATCACAGTATCCCAGTTGGAAATACAATGGTCAGATAATCCTGGATATTTTAACCAGTCATGTGGTTGTTTAGAATAGACTCCCATCCCCAGCATCCATGGCCGCTAGGGGTGGACATGAGAGTAGGTTCTAATAGTGTTCCGGTTAGGTTGAATATCAGCTCTCTGGGAGAGGAGACGGGAGGCCTGGATATGTAATGTCTGCCAGTTTCTATGTTATGAATACCATGGCCACTTAAAAACAGAATTGGGAAAAACAAATGATGCTTGCTGATATGAGTTGGTAGGAGTCATTTGAAGCCAGCTCCAAAAACCAAAAGTTCTCGAATGTGAACTGAAGTAATGTGGCAGCATCTAGTTCAGCTTAGACACAAGTATATATGGTATATACACATTCATTTTTATAATTAAGGAATATTAAATAAGCATAGTTGCTTCTATATAATATATATGACATCAAACACTTTAATAACACAGAAATCTATTACTAAGAAAGTTGTATGAGGTAACTATGGTTCTATACGCTCATAGTTCAGTGTGTCCAGGTGGTTAAATTCTGGCCAATAGAATGTAAGTAGAAGCTGGACGTCCTTAAAGGCAAAAGCATGATAGTTTTTAAAAACTTTTCCCTCTCTTGTCGGCTAGAATGTATATATGATTCCTATAAACCGATCAGAGTATCAGAAAACCTTTGCATCTGAAACAAATTTGAAACAAATTTCCAAATCTGAAACATGAAAATAGGCCACTGTAGTTCTGTCAGAGTCTATCTATAAACGATATACTATAAAGTAATAGAGTATAAACTCAAGCATATAACTTGAGTCCAAGGTTAATATAAATATAATAAAACAAATTAAAAACAATAAGTAAATAATCTGGATATACAAAAAAGAATAAAAAGCATATAAATAATTTGAGCTTACCTCCTTGAATCCCTTTGGCTGTTGCAGTTTTACCAGCATTATCAAGTCCCACCATCACAAGGGTCACCTTTCTTAAAATAACAAAAATGTAAAATTTAATATTAGGGGAAAAAATGCAATTTCATTCATTCAAGAACCTTTAAGGAAAACCTACTATATACCCAGCAATCTCCTGGATGCTAAGGGTAACAATGATTGAAACAGATTCAAAAGACAAAATTAATGAAAAATAGAAAGAACCGTGTCCGGGGTCTTTAAAGGCTTGTATTCAAACAAGCAGCTATCTAAATGAGGCAGCAGCCAAGCTCACGTGGAGAAAGTACACCAAAAGTATGATCTAAGGATTGTAAATATATAATCCAAACCAAAAGCAGGGAATGGTATCAGAGCTTAACATGTATACACCTGGTTTGCAGAAGACTATGAATGACAGTGGAAGTCCAAAATCCATTTGAAGGATCTATACCACATATACTCGAGTATAAGAGTTTTTCAGCACATGTTTTAATGCAGTTTTGTGGTAAAATTAGGTGCCTTGGCTGATATTTGGGTCAGCTTATAATTGGGTATATATGGTAAGTCTATAGTGAATTCCCTGTGACCAGAATTGAGGGATATGAATAGCCTGAGACAATTAAAGTAGATATAGTTAGGTTGAAATTTAGCTTTTTAATAAAAAAATCATTTTATTGGGAGCTCTTACAGATATTATAACAATCCATAATTCAATCAAGTATAATTGTATAATTGTTGTCCCCATCAGTTTCAACACATTTTCTTTCTTCTTTAACTCTTTGATATCATCTCCCGTTTATCCCCTGCCTCCCCCATCCTAGCCCCCAGGAACTCTTTTAGACACACACACACACACACACACACACACACGCACACGCACACTTACCATATCTTTACACCATCCAATGTATCCATTCACCTACAATTCTATTATTTGTTCCCCTTGAGTGGGATTATATAGTCATCATTTCTATTGCCCCCCTCCTTCCCGTCCCATCAGGGAACCATTACTCACAAAAATTTTTTATCAAGGGTTTATCTGTCTTGGTTTTCATACATTGACTGATCTTAATTATACAAATGAATATACAAAGATCTAAAGGGATTAATGAAGTAAAACCAAGACCATATTAATAACAGGAAGGAATATTAAAGAACTAGATGATATTTTTGTGTTTCACCAGTGCTATACTGGCCCCCTGGATCATCCCTTCTGTGTGGTCCTTCTGGAAGGGACTGTTCGATGATCTTACAGGTGGGTTTGTGGTCTCCATTTTGTCTACACACCTTCATGTCAATTTGATTGCTTCTTTTTGAACTTCTGATATCTATTCCTGTCAATATCTCATGATCACACAGGTGGTGTGCTTCTTCCATGTGGGCTTTGTACCTTCTCTGCTGGATAGCTGCTTGTTTAAATTCAAGGCGTTAAGGCCCCAGATGCTATAACTTTTAATAGCCAGGCACCATCAGCTTTGTTCACATTTGCTTATGCAACCATTTTGTCTTTCAGTGATCATGTTGGAAAGGTGAGTATCATACATTTCCACATTATAAGAACATACCGTTTTTGTACTAAGGTAAGATTTAAGTAGCGGCCCAATGTCCATTTGCTCCCGTATTCTCTTTACACATATATAAACAAACACACCTAACTTTATAGATTTATATATTTACATATATACATATCTGTATTTATATCTACCATATATACTTGTGTATAAGCCCAGTTTTTCAGCACACTTTTAATGCAATTTTTGTGGTAAAATTAAGTGCTTCATCTGATATTCAGGTTGGCTTATACTTGAGTATATACAGTATATATAATATTTACTTTCTTGTTTTTTCCACTTAAAATGTAACATTTTATTTGACACGGCCCCCACCCCACCTTATGACCCACTTAAAAGTTGTATTCAATTTGTTGGGTTTTTTTTAAATGAAGGAAAAAAAAGGATTAAGCCTTCAGTGAATTCCTTCTGAACATAGACCAGGGAAATGAATATCTTTGCTACCAGGCAGAGTGTATTGGAAAGTGGATTATGGCAGATGCAGTTAAATTAAACTTCAACACTTATCATTTGATCTCCCTACTGATCCATTTTTAAGTTGCTCTAGTTTTTAATATTTCCTGCTTTCTTTTTGAGGTTTTCTCTATTTTATTTCATTATTGTTGTTAGTTTTTTGACTTATTTTGTTTTCATATATCTTTAGTATAAGAAATCCAGAATGGGTGTATCTGTAGAGACAGTTACTAGATTAATGGTTTCTTGGGGGTATGAAAAGGAGAAGTTGGGAGAAAATGGGGAGCTAATAATACAGGAAAGAAGAAAATATCCTAAAATTAATTGTGATAATGATCATACAAATCATCTTCATATGATTGAAATATTGAATTATATGACATGTGGATAACTCCCAATAAAACTGTTAACAAAAAACAACAAAAAATGCAAAAGTGTTTTTCCCTTTGTTCTCTAAGCAAATAAAGTAAAAGGGTACAATAGACAATCCAAAGAATAAAGAAGAAGAAAAAGAGATGAACTCTACCTCCTGACATAATTATCATGTCTAAAGTCCCAATTTTTTAGGTCACTAAATTCCTAACAGACCCTCAGAGATCTGTCCTCGGGACTACTCCTATACTCAACTCCTCTGGCACAGTGAGCAGGCTAGTTCGAACTACCAGCCACTCTGAGAAAGGAAGGTGAGGCTTTCAGGGGCAGTTGTGCTCTGTCCGATAAGGTCACTATAAGTCAGAATCAACTCAATGGAATAGGAAATTCAAGAATCATTTAAGAAACCCTTAAAGTCACAAAGAAAATAAGGAGACTAAAAAAATGGCAATGCTGGAAACGGTTTCAGAGGTAAAAGGATGAAAATCTCAGATAGTAGAATATGAAATATTTTAAAGTTTTATAAAGTGAAAGCATAGTTTGGTATTACAAATTAAGTACTTCAGAACTAAAAGCTCTCAGCTTTTACCAAACCCTGCAATAACCAATACTCTGAATTTATATAGCATGTTTCATATTTCAAAACTATTTACCCTGTCATTTATTTTATACTCTCTGCAAGTAGGGCAAGTACAACTTACTTCACCTAAGAGAACGAAGATAAAAGGAAAAGGTAACCAACAAGTTTCCTTGAAAGCTTAAACGTAATGGTTTGTAATAACAATAATTATAATTTTAAAGGATTACTTAAGTCCTTTTGTTTTCCTTAAAATCTCTATACAGCTATATACATATAACAAATCATGTGGCTGTTTCTGGCTGCCCTATATTAGGTATTGGGGTCTGTCCTTCCCCAACCCCCCACACCCCTTACATTTAGCCCACTTCCATCATAACCTCTGTGGCAGTTAGATTTTATGTCAACTTGATGCTGTTTAGTGTGAAGTGGAGTCTAACCTCTCAATAAAGTCACAGCCTAAGGATGCTTCTGTGTGGTGTGCCTTTTTCTATAATAAAAACAGTGATAAATACTCTTCCTCTCTGCCTCTTCATCTTCTTCCTTACTGGGACTCTGTGTGCCTCCAAAGGTGGCCACTGTGGGCCACTGATCCAGGAAGCTGTTGGTACCCTGCTCTGTTCCCACAAACCTTTGATCCACAAGACTCTGCACTCACTGGCCTTCATCCCATTTCACCTTTCTGCATCATCGGCCTGCAGTTACATGAATCTGAAGAGAGGACAGGCTAACATCAAACTCACAGACCTGAGTTGAACTGGGCTAGGATGCCTTCTGATATAAAATTACTTATTGATATAAAATTCATTCTTATACAAATATAAGTATCACTGGGTTTGTCTCTCTAGAGAACTCAGACTAACGCAACCTACTTCACATACTAGATGGAACATCAATTGATTAGTAGCTGGCAGACTAGTTGTTGCTATTGTCAGGGGGCATCAAGTCAGCTCTGCCTCATAGTGAACCTAACTGTAGCAGAATGACAAGATGCCTGGTTCTGTGCTATTCCCACAGTGGTAGCTGTTTGTATAGTCCCTGTCAATTCATCTTGTGGCAAGTCTTCCTCCTTTTCACTAACACTCTACTTTTCTAAACATGATGTCCTACTTATCCAGTGGTTAGTCTCTCTGGATTGCATGCCTAAATTCAGCAAGATAGAACTTCTACTGGGAGGGAAGCGCGGGGGAGGGGAAAAATGAGGATCTGATGCCAGGGGCTTAAGTGGAGAGCAAATGTTTTGAGAATGATGAGGGCAATGCATGTACAAACGTGCTTTACACTACTGATTATATATGGACTGTAATAACAGTTGTATGAGCCCCTAATAAAATGATTTTTAAAAAAAGAACTTCATCCATCCTTGTTTCTAAGCAGTCTGACCATATTTCATCCAACACCGATTTGTTCGTTCTTCTGGCCATCCACAGTATATGCAATATTATTCCCTGTCACCATATCCACCCATAGGGCCAACTCTTTTTGATATTCCTTTATCACTGTCCTGTTTCTACATGCATATAAGGTGACTGAAAATACCATGGCGTGGGCCATGGCAGCATGCTTTACTCATCAGATTTTCCCAATGTAATACTCCAATTGATTTCTTAGCAGTTGTGTTGATGAGGGCTGATTGTTAATTTAAATAAAACAAAACCTTGACAACATCAGCATTCTCTCCATTTATCTTGATGTTGCTTATGGGTAATGTATGGTGTAATGCACACTGAAGGCTATATTCTTTTAACTTTATCAGAAGGTGCTTCAGATCATCTTCATTTGTGGCAAGGGAGATTGTGCCATTTTCATAATGCAAGTTTCAGCCGAGTGTCCCTGCTAAGAACAGACTCCAGAGAAGGAATTGGCCCCCCACTTTGGAGGAAGTAACTGCTGAAAACCGTAAGCACAACATGGAAACATTTGCAGATACTGAAGGCCTAACAAATGGAAGCCAAACTTCCATTGTCAGAATAATGCTGTCAGAAATAATGCGGGAGGACAGAAGGCGCTTGAAATATGACTGATGAAAAAAAAAAAAAAAGAAATATGACTGATGAAGAGCTGCTTCCTCAAAGTAGAGTTG